GTTTCAAAGCTAACTGAATCAACATTTTACTCCTCTAATCTTCATTTATTATCTTCAAAGAAACCAAGTGGTCCAGTGGCATTAATGTTTGGAGGAATTTTTTCAAGTGAGTCTGAGTTGTTTTAAGAAAGTAACACTTGTAATTTCTTGACTTCAATTTTACATGAAGGAAAGGCAGGACGTTCCCACTTGACTTAAGTTAGTGCATTCTCTAAAGCTGCTTTTGTTTCTCAGGAAATGGATTATTGGCTTGCAAACATATTTTTTTCCAGTGCCAAGTATAGTTAATTCATTCCCATTTTTAAAGATCTAAAAGTATGTGTACTTTTAAAAGAATGATCCTGAACTTCACATAACCACCATCCAAGTTAAGACACAGAACATGGTCAGTAACTTAGAAATGCCACACTGGCAATCCCAGATACCCAAAAGTTAATTACTATTTAATTTTCTGCTTTTCTCTATTGTTATACTACTTATACAAGTGCTCCTGGATGGAAGTGCTTAGTTTTGTCTGCTTTGAACTCTATATAAATTAAATCATATTGTATGTGTTATTTTTTATTACATCTTTAATATGCAATTTTTAAATTCTCAAATCTATTCCATTTTCTATTTATTTGATCCAGTGACACCACTAGACTGATTATTTTAACTTTATACTAATTCTAATGTAAGGTAAATCTCCACTTTACTATTCTTCAAAAGCATCTCGACTATTCTCACCCTTTGCATTTCCATATAACATTATTTTCAACCTCAGGTGCACAGAATTGGCCTAATCATATTTAATTTTTTAAACTAACCTCATTGATCCATTTGTGTTCTTTAACCTTTATATTTATTTAATACTTAATATGATGAATTCTCATATCTACCATGTAACATAAGAATTAAAACATTATTCAAGAACTTATACCTTACCCTCTGCTCTTCCTTCTCATCCCCTTGCTTTCCTTATCCTGAATTTCATTTTTATTATTAACAAATGCTTATATCAGTATTCATTTGTCTGATTATACTGTTCAGTTATGGTTTTGAACTTTATAGAAAGGATATTATAATGTATGTACTCTTCTGAGGTTTGCTTTTTTTTCTTTTCTTTTGCTACCATGTTACTAAGATTCATCAATGCTGTCCTAAGTAACACCACCAAGGATGTTAGCCTGTAATTTCTTTTCTTGTGGTGTCCTTGTCTGGTTTTGGAGTTAGGGCAATGTAAAATGAGTTAGGAAGTATTCACTCCTCTTCTATTGTTTGGAAGATTCTGAGAAGAATTGGTATCAATTCTTTGGATGTATGGTAGAACTCACCAGTGAAGCTGTCTGGTTCTGGACTTTTGTTTTTTGGGAGTTTTTGTTTGTTTAGAAAGGGAGAGAGAGAGTTGGGGGGAGGCACAGAGGGAGACAGAAAATTTTAAGCAGGTTCCATGCCCAGTGTGGAGGCCCACTTGGGATCCATCTCTGAGATCATGCCCTGAGCTGAAATCAAGAGTCAGATGCTTAATCGGATGAGCCACCCAGGAGCCCCTGTTGGGAGGTTTTTGATTACTGATTCAATCTCTTTACTAGTAATTGCTGTGTTCTGATTTCCTGTTTCTTCCTGATTTGGTCTTGGTAATTTGTATGTTTCAAGGAATTTATCCATTTCTTCTAGGTTGTCAAGTTTTTTTTTTTTTTTTTAAGATTTTATTTGTCAGAGACAGCAGCAGGCAGAGGGAGAAGGAGGCTCCCCACTGAGCAGGCAGCCCGATGTGGGGCTCGATCCCAGGACCCTGAGATCATGACCTGAGCCGAAGGCAGATGCTTAACCAACTGAGCCACCCAGGCACCCCAGGAGGTTGTCAAGTTTTTGCTATATAATTGTTCACTAGTTTCTTATCCTTTGTTCTTCTGTGGTGTCAGTTATAATGTATCCTCTTTCATTTCTCATTCATTCCAATCTTTTTTTCTTGGAGAGTCTAGTTAGAGGTTTGTCAATTTATCTTTTCAAAGAACAACCACCTCCTAGTTTCACTGATCTTTTCTATTTGTTTTTACTTTTATTTCTGCTCTGATCTTTGTTACTTTTTTCCTTCTACTAACTTCATTTGTTCTTTTTTGTTTTCTTCTGTGAGGTATAAAGTTAGGTTGAGATTTTTCTTGTTTCTTGAGGTAGGCATTTATTACTATGAACTTCCCCCTTAGGATTGCTTTTGCTTTATCCCATACATTTTGGCACATTGTATTTCTATTTCCGAATGTCTCAAGCTATGTCTTATTTCTCCTTTGACCCACTGGATGTTCAGTAGCATGTTTAATCTCCACATATATGTGAATTTTTCCAGTTTTATTTTTGTAATTTCTCATTTTATACCACTGTGGTCAGAAAAGATGCTTCATGTGATTTCAATCTTTTTTTTAAGATTTATTTGAGAGAGAGAGTGAGAACAAGCAGTGGGGAGGGGCAGAGGGAGAGAAAGAGAGAGAGAAGCAGACTCCCTGCTGAGCAGGAAGCCCAATGTGGGGCTTGATCCCAGGACCTGAAGATCATGACCTGAGCCAAAGGCAGATGCTTAAATGACTGAGTCACCCAGGCGCCCCATGATTTCAGTCTTCTTAAATTTATTAAGACTTGTTTTGTGGCAGAACATGATCTGTCCTGGAGAATTTTTTTTTTTAATTTAAATCCAATTTAGTTCATAGTGTATTTTAGTTTTAGAGGTAGACTTTAGTGATTAATCAGTTGCATATAACACCCAGTGCTCATTACATCAAGTGCCCTCCTTAATGCCCATCACCCAGTTACCCCAACCCCCCCCACCCACCTACCCTCCAGCAACCCTCAGTTTGTCTCCCAGAGTTAAGAGTCTCATGGTTTGTCTCCCTTCTGATTTCATCTTATTTTATTTTCCCCCCTTCCCCTATGATCCTCTGTTTTGTTTCTTAAATTCCACATATGCATGAGATCATGTAATTGTCTTTCTCTGATTGAATTATTTTGCTTAACATAATACCCTCTAGTTCCATCCATGTCATTGCAAATGGTAAGATTTCATTTTTTTGATGGCTGAGTAACATTCCATTGTATATATATATATATATACACCACATCTTTATCCATTCATCTGTCCATGGACATCTGGGCTCTTTCCATAGTTTGGCTATTGTGGACATTGCTGCTATAAACATTGGGGTGCAGGTCCCCCTTCAGATTACTATGTTTGTATCCTTGGTGCAATTGCTGGATCTTAGGGTAGCCATATTTTTAACTTTTTGAGGAACTTCCACACTATTTTCCAGAGTGGCTGCACCAGCTTGCATTCCCGTAAACAGTGTAGGATGATTCCCCTTTTTCCTTATCCTCACCAAAATCTGTTCTTTCCTGACTTGTTAATTTTAGCCGTTCTGACTGGTGTGAGGTGGTATCTCACTGTGGTTTTGATTTGGATTCTGGAGAATGTTTCACGTGCACTTGAGAAATATGTATTCTGTTGCTTTTGGATGGAATGTTTTGTATATATCTATAACATGCTGTATAGGCCAATGTTATTTTTCTGTCAGGATGATTTACCCATTGATGTAAGTGGGGTATTAAAGTTCTCTACTATAAGTATCTTGCTATCTATTTCTCCCTTAGGTCTATTAATATTCGTTTTATATACCAGGTGCCCGTTGGGTATGTTGGGAAAGTTGTTGGATTGACCAACCCCTTTATCATTATATAATGATCTTCTTTGTCTATTACATTTTTTTAAAAAAATCTATATTTAAAGCAGACAATATAGTTATCCCAGCTTTCCTTAGGTTTTTATTTGCATGGAATATCTTTTTCAGTCACTTTATTTTCAGTCTATTTATGTTCTTACATCAGAAGTGAGTCTCCTAGGTAGCAAATAAATCAGTTTTGTCTTTTTATCCATTCAGCTACTCTGTCTTTTGATTGAAGAATTTATTTTATTTACATTTAAAGTAGTTACTGATAGGTATGTACTTATTGCCATTTGTTAATTATTTTCTGGCTGTTTTGGAGTTCTTCTTGGTTCATTTCTTGATCTCTCCTTTTATGATTTGATGGCTTTCTTTAGTGGTGGGCTTAGATTCCTTTCTCTTTCATATATCTACTACAGGTTTTTTGCTTTGTAGTTATTAGAAGGCTTACATATAACAACTAAATTGGTAATTATTTAAGTTTGATCACATTCTCAAGCTCTATACTTTTACTCTCCCTCCAACATGTTGTTTTTATGTCACAATTTCCAAATTCTGTGTATCCCTTAACTAATTATTGTGGTTCTAATGATTTTTACTGCTTTTGTCTTTTAACCTCATACTAACTTTAAGTGATCATTTCCACTTCTTTTCTATATATTTACCAGTGAAATTTATACTTTCATCTGTTTTCTTGTTACTAATTAGTGCCCCTTCATTTCAACTTAAAGAAGTCCCTTTAACATGTCTTGTTAGGGTGGTCAAGTAGTGATGAACTCCTTTAGCTTTTGCTTGTCTGTAAAACTCTTCATCTTTCCTTCAATTTTGAAGGACATTGTTGATGGGCAGAATATTCTTGGTTGGCCAGTTTTTTTTTTTTTTTTTTTTCCTTTCAGCACTTTGAATAGATCATGCCACTTTCTTCTGGCCTATAAATTTTCAACTGAGAAATCTGTAGTTTTACGTGTGTGTGTGTGGGGGGGGTTCCCCTTGTATGTAACAAGTTGTTTTTCTCTTGCTGCTTTTAATATTCTTATAACTTTTGATTATAATGTCTTGGTGTAGGTCTTTTGGGGTTACTCTTATTTGGCTCCCTGGATCTGGATGTGTGGGTTCCACCCCAGAGATTCTGTTTTAATTTTCTAGATCATAGCCTGGTCAAGAGGAGATTTTAAAATTCTCCAGTAGATTTTAATGCATGATCAAGGTTGAGAACCACTGCTTTAAAACCACTCAGTAAGAAAGGGCTGTCTGAGCAAAACCTCCCCATGGCAGAGCAAGCCCAGATTTGGCTAAGAGTGCCATACTCACCTGCAGTATTTGAGAGGAGTCCCCGAGAACTCACTGCCATCAGACTCAGGCTCAGATCGGTTCTCAAAGTCAGAAATTTGAAACACAGATAAGCTGGCATTTACATAGCCAACCATGCACCTGAAAAAGAATTCTATAACTAGATCTCTGATCACCGCTGCATCCAATTCACCAAAGGCTTTACTTCCTAGAGGCTCTTGCACTTGTAAATGCCTTTAGCTGGCTCTGCCTTGTCATAAGCACTCAAGTTAGGATATACTGAAAAACCCTGGGTATGTGGAATCAGAAACAAGTCATTCTTTTATTCTAGTTGTTCTTGTTCAGAACCATCATACAGAACATCACTACCCCAATCAATACTTCAGTGAAATAGGGGAGAGACAGCACTGCATGATTAGTAGGCAAATCACTGTTTCTTTCCTTGATGATGTAAACACACATGCACACACACATTCCTTTATTAACGAGTATCTATACTCTCTCATAATGCCCTGAATGTGACTGGTGTTACTATGACCTTCCTCCAAACTCACATCCCTTGCTATAGTCATGCTAGACTATATTCCTTGCATATACTATATGCTCTCATGCCTCTGTTCAGGTTGTCTTTTCTATTGGGATTCCCTATTCATTTCCTTCTAAGTAGAAATAGTGCTCATTTTTCAATGACCAACTGAAATGGCACCCCTTCTGGGAAGATGCCCTAATCCCCCCAGAAAAAAACTCATTCCCTCTTCTGTATGGTGCTGCTGTACCTAATATATTAGGTACATTACCATACAGCTTGTGCTAGAGTTGCCTGCAAAGATGAAGGTCTTCTTTAGACTGTAGTTGTTTTTGGAGCAGAGCAGGTGTCATAAGTATTTCTTATGTCTTGTGTAGTGTAGGAATCCATTAAATATCAAATTCAATTGATTTTATTTGAGGAAAACTAAAGCATCAGAGATTCTATCAAGGTCTTAAGAATGGACCAGGAATAAAACTATTGCCTACATACCCCAGGGCTAATAAGCTTCTTGAGGACATAGCTTCTATTCTGTACTAGGAGTCTGTATATTACAATACTAAAAACTTGGGTTTGAGGGTCAAATTGTAGCTCTTCTGCTTTCTAGCCATGCAAATTTTGCAAGTTATGTAACTTCTTTAAGCAACAAAAGTGCCTACCTCATAGAGTCATTGTGGGGATTAAATGAAATGATACATGTAAAGTGAGTGATAGAGTGCCTAGCCTATAGCAAGATCTTAATTAAATGTGAGTGGCTATCATTAATTTCTTGTACCTTGCAGAAGGTCAATAAATAATTATTGATTTAATGAATAAATCATAGCTTTCAAATTCTCTTCATTAACTTGTCTGGCATGATTATTCCAAGCTGCTGAACATCAAACCAAAATGAGGACACAAACGCAGTTCTGAGAGAACATGAGTTCTGTGTGCTGTCTTGATCAAGACAAATCACTGGGGTTTTATCATGGCCTTAAAAAAATGAACCAAGCAGAAGGACCCATTTGTCACGTCACTTATGGGGGAAACAGATGGTCAGTGGGTGTGTAATATGCCTTAATCCAACTGGCAGCAGGTCTCCCCTACTACTCCTTGGAAGGGTAATTTGGGATAATGTCTCCCTCCTCTTTGAACTGCCTAGAACATGACATGAAAGCAAATTAGTGCTTTGATTATTAGCTGTCATAGAGAGGGAGCCAGTTTTTGTGAACTATAGAATGTAGCAGTCTTCTCAGGAGCCAAACAAACAGTGGGAAAGGAAAGGTGCTCTAGAAACTGGCAGAAAACAGGCCCAACATTGAAATGAAGTATTCACAACCCCTCCCACACTCTTACCTACCAAAGCAGTCCTGTGGCTTTATTGAAATTAAAGCTGTGGCCTAATGGCTGCTCTGTCCAAAAACTCAATTGAGAAAAATCTAAATTAAAATAAAATATCAGTCTCATGGACAACACTCTACTTTCAAAGTAAAGACGATGTATCTTTGAACTATTTATTAAGCATATTCATGTAATGTCAGTCATAAATCCAAGTTAAAAATATGCCTTTGGTGGTTCTATACTCCTGCGTACAAAGCATCACACATGGACGTAAGACATGTATACATAGTTATCAGCTGTGTAAGTCTTCCTTCCATATCCTTTCCATAATCAGGGAAGAAGAGGGACTGCTAATACTCAACTGTCTGGGCATTTCTCAGTCTTTTCACTGTGGTAGAATCTTAGCTATTACCCACATTATAAATAGTGGAGGCACTCATCAAGTCAGGGAAGTGCGATTTCCCACAGTTCCCTGTATGAAGTTCAGCCAATGGCACTCATGTGTCAATTCGGAGGCCATACACAGCAGTAGATCCCATGTCCATCCCTATCTGCTGGCAGGAGATCACTATACCCTCAATGTGGCACACCACCAGCTGCAAGTTAGAGGAAAGATGAAGCTATACTGATGATGAGGCAGTAGGAGAGCGAGAGAGAGAAAAAAGTATCAAAAGGGTTTCTGTAAATATAAAAAATGTTAATTTTCTTAAGGGACTGGTAGATGGCTTCTGAAGGCATTTCCAAGAAAGGAGATTCAGAAAATATCTTATGTAAGGGTAGGATTGTTTGAATTAGGATGCATGCCTTTTCCAAGTAACTTCTGTAAAGACCACATTCATTTAAATTTGAGAATTCTGGTTTTAACACCATTTCTGTTTTAATCCTTTAATGAAAAAGATGAACTAGTGATCATTAGTAATCAGGTTTAAGGAAAAGAAAAGAACCTGAAGTTGACTTTTGAGTTTGTAGATTCCAGATCAAACTCTTGTGGAATGTCTTTGAATTTTGCTATTAAATTTGCCTTTGAGGTTTTAGATATAGTGACACAAACAGAATGCAGATAGGGCTCAAATGATGAAAGAGCTAGAAGAAATAAGATCTGGTTTATGCATTTAAAGTCAAATGTGCCTTATAGATAATAAATGACAAATTTATAAATTTATAATTAGGGTAATGAGATGACAGAAGAAAGTGGACTTCTGATTTATTGCAATAAAAATGCCAGACATTATGAAAAAAGAAAGATTAAATCTCTGTACAGTTGGCTTTATGTTTTTAAATGGAACTTTGCAATTGGTTCTGTTGGTGATCTACTGACTTATAATTTGCAAAAATATACTACTTTATTAAGATATTTGTGGTTCATTCTGTGACAGTTTGAGCATGTGTCCTTGATCAAGTCTCTAAGTCCTTATATTTCACTATTTCTACATGAAAACCAGCTATATACCTTACAATAATCCTAAGGCCTGCACATATTCTTAAGGAATGTTCCACATCTCTAGCCTGATAACGAAGTAATTAGTTTATTAAAACATTCAGTGGATGGGGGGGGGCTCAAAATGATTTTTTGTGCTATTTGAAAAATAGTTTATTGATTAAAACTGTTCTGTCAGAGTTAAATTTCATAGTATACACCTTCAATTTTGCTTCATAATTTGTCTCCTAATGCATATTCAGAGGTGATTTTAGTTCTCTATGCACTTTTCTAGAGGGTTCCTGTGAAAATCACCTGAAAGAGGAAGTGGCTTCATTTTGCAAAAAATGAACAATCTGAGCATGGGTATTGGTCCAAGAATCTACCTAGGCAGGCTGCAGCCAAAAAGAAGAAATGTCTTAAGAGGAAAAATGAAACACTTGAAAATTTCCCGTGTACCCACTGTGTAGAGTACATTGCCTTGACTCACAGTATTCCTCCCATGTTCAGATCTGGCTGGAAAATGAGAACGTCCTCCCCTCTATGCCCCTGGAGATGCATTTACTGAACACTCATGATAGTAGGGAGACTGGTTGGAAGGCACATCCAGGAATGGCTGACACATCCTGTCATAGATAAAATGCTCATGTGAACTGAGTGACTGGACATATGCATGAAGTTCTCATCTTTGGGGAAGCCAGGGAAAGCTGAAAAAATGGTAAGAAGGAGGCACTGAGGTAGTCTGGAGTTTTGGAGGTTGGTTTGGTTGTAGTACTTTTGATTTAGAGTCAGCTTCAATTGAAATAAGGCATTTCTACAGGTGAATTAAATCATAACAAGTGGAATTTGACTATGTACATACTACCTCAAAGCCTGTAACATTCTAAAATTTGACAGTGTTGCTCCTCTATGAAATCATTTCTAAAGCATTTCCAAATTGGAAAAAAAAAAAACAAAAACCTTAAAAAGGATAATAGAATAGCTGGTGGGGCAGAAAATAAGATTCATGAAGAAACTTATACAAATGCAACTATTTGAAAACAAGCAAAATGACCAATGGATTAGAAGATAGAAGGTAGATCTATAAATATTCAAAGTGGCAGAAGGCTCTCACATGAAAGGTTATATATAAAAAATAGCCCAGGGGAGACCAATAAACCTAAATCAAGGAGACTGTTAAATTTTAATCTCTATGAATATTGTCTTAAATCTACTAAGCTGTCAACATCTAAAGCTTTTTAATTTTTAATTTTAATTATCTTTTAAAGATTTTATTTATTTGACAGAGACACAGCGAGAGAGGGAACACAAGCAGGAGTGGGAGAAGCAGACTCCCTGCGGAGCAGGGAGCCCGATGCGGGGCTGGATCCCAGGACCCTGGGATCATGACCTGAGCTGAAGGCAGACGCTTAACTGACTGAGCCACCCAGGCGCCCCTACATTTTAAAGCTTTGATTCACTATCACCTGCACATAAATGTCCCCATTTTATTTTTGGGTTCCCCCCAAACCAAAACAGGTTTCATTGTATTTGCGGTCCAGAAAGAATTTTTTTTTTTTAAAGATTTTATTTATTTATTCATGAGAGACAGAGGGGGAGAGAGAGAGAGAGAGAGAGAAGCAGAGGGAGAAGCAGGCTCCCAAGGAGCAGGGAGCCCGATGCGGGACTCGATCCCAGGACCCCGGGATCATGACCTGAGCCGAAGGCAGACGCTTAACCATCTGAGCCACCCAGGCGCCCCAGAAAGAATTTAAATAACCATTGGGACTTGAACCCTCGGGGAGTTCTCTCCTGTTAGATGAGCTGGATAAACATTTATTGACGGTGGCCCCCAGGGCTGTGTGGTTCAGGATGGAGAGCACTGTCTGAGTCTAGGTTTTGCCTTCATGTGGATTCTATCAGTTACTCTGCCTTGTGATTCTGGATTTAACCTCTCGTCTTTTTCTGCTCTTCAAAGTGAGGGTAATAATGCATGTCCCACTCTCGGGGGGTTGTTTTGAGAATCAAATGCAAAACGATGGGAAAGTGGTTTAAACAAAGGCAAGCTTTTCTAGGCTCAGTCAAGCAAAGAATGTTGGCTGCAGTCAGAAACAATACCTGAGTAGTACAACACAAGCCTTTAAATCTCTTAAAACGGGATGGTAGGTTCACTTAAAGTTGCTAGATAATTAGTGTCTAATGGCCACATGGTTATTATAGTAAAGAACTTTATAGAAGCCTCTTCAAATACCTGGACTGTAAGCTTTATTGCATTCAACCATCCATGCCTTAGAGCAGTAATGTAGGATTAATAATGAAATTGGAGCTAGGCCAGCGGTGCATGAATTTGGCTGACTTGATTTGGTAGCATTTTATTCCTTGGGGCTAATCGAACTACAGTGGTTATATGGATTAGTTTAGTTCTGACTAGTAAACCAGGAGGCAGGGCTGCCTGTGTGAGTAGTCAGAGCCCACGTGGGGTGATTTCTGGGGCATGGAAAAGTCTCCCAAAACATACTCCACTCTAACCTACAGACCTCTAAATCCCACAATTAGAATTGGATTATTTTTACTTTAGCCAAACAAGGATTTTTCTCCCATTAAAGTAGGTTAAATTTCTTGTCTCTTTCCAAGGGTATAGGAACGAAATCTAGGCGACGTGTTATAATTTTGCCTGGACTTTACCTGACCAGAAATACCCAGAAAGCCTTGGCTTTTGGGAATTACTTAGGTGATGCCACAGAATTGAATTTGTCTGGGGTAATATGTACATTGGTCAGGTCAATAGCCAGGAAAGAATCATTCAGTTACTTGTTCCACAAACATTTATCAGGTACCTAACAGGGTACTTAACGCATGGTTGCATATTTCCCATGCAGAATTTGCAGAGTCTCTACATGATGTCACAAGAGGAATCAGATTGTAACTGTTCCTCTTACAAATGCATAAAAATGGCATAACTATATACTCTATCATGTGCTACTTTTTTTGGATACACACATTAGCATACCATACATTTCTGAATTCATAGTGGGCAGGGCTCAGGGGTAGGGGAAATGATTAATTCCACCTAAAACTTGTGTTACTTGTATTGAGCCCCATCTCTTCAGTAGATCATGGTGTGTTTTCTTTGGCTGAAAGTGTCTTCATAATTCTGCCTCTCCCACTACCATCCTTCTCATCCTGGGTTGCTCCAATGCAGGAGCTTCTGTCTGAGTGTACCAGCATCATATAGTGCATAGGGAATGGTGATTTCATGATAGTTTTATGACAAACTTACTTTTGTCCAGCTTCTCCTTGGCCTGCACAAGGTCCATACTTATAAGCATACACCAAGCGAGGGATAAAGTCAGATGTTATCGCTATGACAAATGCATTTGTAATAACCGAGAGAATTCCAATGCCTTCAAGGATGCCATACCAAATTCCTATTCAAAGAGAAGTGTTATATTAGTTCCAGACACAACAGCAGAGATAATAGTACAAAAACAACTGGGGTAACTCATTTCAATAGTCCTTTCAAATTCCCAAATACACTTGTAACCAAGAGTAAGAATTTGTACTTGCAAACACCTTGGCATTGGAGGAGTTTCTGGAAAAGTGCCAATGCTCATGACTTAATGACTCAGTCAAGATCAAACTTAAGTCAGAGAGTTCTGCTCAGTGATAAGGCACTGATACATTATCCAATAAGATGAGCGCTCACACTGTTAAACCACTACCAGGCTGGGAGCTTCTGAAGGGTGCTGACATCTGGGTGGGCCCAGTCCCTGTTGCACTGACCTAGGGTAGGTACTCACTGAATGTGGGTTTGTTTCATTGGGAGGTTAAAGACCGCTGTGAGTCAAGTACATCCATATTCAATTCTCTTCTATACACACTGAGCACCTGCTGGCTCTGTTCTAAGCATTTGATGCAGAAATGAATAAAGGATGGCCTCTGATCTCAGGCAGTGCACAAGAGGCTGCACCTGATTCGACTCAGCCTCTCTTGTCAAAGACCAAAGGCCATCTCTGTCTTTCCCTGTGACTCAGGGAAACATTTGGGCAAAACAAAGTAAAGCAAATGGAAGATTACTTTAAAAAGGAAAATAGATGATAAAATTCTAGATTCCAAGTTCAAATAAAATCGAGAATCTATTTAAGCACAAATTCTCTAGTGCTGGAAATTATAAATTTCCAAATAGGCAGCTTTACTTCTTGTCTCGTATTATTTAAAGCTAACATAATTATTCTTTTGCAAGAATAAGTTAAGTCATCTTACATGGAAACCATAAGTAAAAATCTAAAGTTGATGTTTGTTTTTATTTTATCCACCAGATGGTTAATATCTTTAAAAAATTTCAAATCCAACTTACCTATGTCTTTGGCCCTTGAAGCTAAAGGTCGCCTCCACTGTGTGACAAATTTGTAAGCATCGAGTCTAATTTCAATTATGTTATTCAGTAAGGCCAGAAGTGGTGCTAGGGGAAAAGCTGCCACAAAGATAGTTGTGAATCCAAACTGAAGAACTAGGGAAGAAAAAAGGAAAAAGAACGAAGAATATTGGTTTTCCATTACTATTTTCAAAAGGACAATAATCTTAATGTGTCCTTGTCTTCGCCCATATTTTTTCCAATATAGAAGCCCAGGAAATATCTCTTCCAGAAAGATGGCCAGGACACCAGAAAAATAGGCACTACCTGGGCCTGGAAGGAATGACATCCTAGCAATGATCATACCTAGGATCCAGATCTTGTTTTCTAACTACCATTCTCTAATAACAGAGGTCCTTGAAAAAATGTTTGATTCCAGAGCCATGGCAGGGAAAATACAAGGGGAGGCTCGAATATCTCATGATGCCAGAAAGTTAGGAAATCCTTGAAATCAAATGGGGAGCATATCAGTAGGACACAGGACAAACTTGAAGGAGCTACCAATGGCAAAACCTGGAACAATATATACAACAAAATAAATAATGATAGTATTGGGTTAAATCCAAAGACTAAATACCTAAGTCCATACTGATATAAATGCTTATATAAATAACTGAATAAATGGAGGAGAAGGGATAGCTCCTCCCTATGGTAGAATTTTAATTAATAAATTAGAAAATAAATGCATAAAAATACATGTAAAAAGAATGATAAAGATAGAAAATTACCATTGGTCAAAAACATCACAGTAATTATTGCAGGCAAGAATGAGCAAAGAATGCTAAAATTAGTAGGAGGAATTATAGTAACAAAAAAAAAAAGAACATTTATATATTCTCAAAGTATCTCCCTACATGATAGTATTACAAAGAAAAAAACATTATCTTTTACAGTGGAAAAACCTGGTAGCCATCACCTTCAAGTAAATATTACTTGTAATAAGACATATTGACATCTCATGCCCCTGATATGAGGTACTGAGGATACATCATTTCTGTGGTGATCTTGCCAAAAAGGCATCATGAGAAAACATTAGATAAACCCAAATTGAAGGACCTTCTGCTGAACTCTAAGCCAGTATTCTTCAAATGTATCAAGATCATGAAAAACAAAGAACTGTCATAGATTGGAAGAAACTACGGAGACACAAGATTTAAATGTAATATTGGATCCTGGATGGGTCAAGAACAAGAAAAAGTAAAAAAACTGGTAATATTAAAATAAGGTCTGTGATTAGTTAATAGCGTTGTATTAATGTTTATTTTCTGCTTTTAATAAATATATAACATAATAACATTAGGGGAAACAAGGTGAAGAGTATATGGGAACTCTGTATTATTTTTGCAACTTTGCAAAATAAAATGTTAAAAACAAACCGAAACCAAAAAAAAAAAGAAAGAAAAAAAGAAACAGACCGTCCCTGATGCAAAGCAACCAGAGAGCATAATTGAAAATTTAAAAATACAATTTACTGGGCATTGTGGACTGCAAAAAAGTACTTGGCTAAATGGATGACTATACAGTTTGTTTTTGCTTTTTTAGACTATTTTAGAAAGTAACAAAATAATGACTAACACATCATATTCCATTTCTATGTAACAGCCACTGTTCTAATTACTTCACATATATTAGCTCATTTAGTTTTCACAATGACCCTATTATAGGCACTAAGAGGTCAAGTAACTTGCTTGAGACACAACTAAGAAGCAATTGCTAACGTGGGTAATGTGGTTCAAGAGTCCTGAAGGGTCAGTCTATTTACCTCATCTCTGTGGCACTGCCACCTCCAGGGTGTCACCTGTCTGGTCACATTCATACTCTGTGCCTGTGCTGCTTGCTCTTCACCCACCAATAGACACAGGCATCTCCCTTAGTTTTCCCCTTGGCTTCCTCTTTCTGCTTTCTCCTTTCCTTGGGTCAGTCCATCTACTCTCGTGACTTCATTATTATCTCTCTGATAAGGATTCTCAATTCCCTATCTCTCACTCTGAATCTTATCAGGGAATTTCTAGTTGTCTGCTGTTGTGCTACAGAAGCAGCACTCTCCAAACCCTGATTCAATTTTAAACCTCAATCTCTCATCCTTAAATCTGTTCCTTTCATGTCTTCCTTCCCTTCAGATTTGTCTTGCAAAAAACCCAGGTCTCCTCTAGCTCACTTTTCATGACCATTTGCCTCCAAGTCTCCACTCTCCCCACTGGAGTTCAGACTCTCATGTTCTAACTGACTTCTCTGCCTCAGACTTTCACCTCCCTCAGCCATCTCACTGCTGTCAATATTGCTTAAAGCCCATAATCAATCATTAATCATTTCCCTATTCCAAATGTTTCAGAAGGTTCTCATTGCCTATAGATTAAATCCCAAACTTTTCACTGTGCCATTCAAGGATCTTCCAAGCCTCATGTCCAAAATTACCTCATGCCTAGACAGGCTTCCCAAACAATCCTCTACTTTGGCCACATGAGACTTCTGGTTTTATGGGGTCATGTCATATTCTTAGTGTTTTTATTCATACTCTGGTGAAATTCTATTCTTCCTTCAAGGGTAAGCTTGATGTGGCCTCTGCTGGAACCTCTCATAATTGTAATTACGGCTTCCTCAGTAGCTTCTGCGACTCTGCTTACATTGGAGAAATTATTTTGTCTTGATTTTATGGCTCTTTCCCTGTATGGTACTGACTCTTATGTTTAAGTCTTTGATCCATTTTGAGTTAATTTTTGTGAGCGATATAAGACAGGGGTCCAATTTAATTTTTCTGCATGTGTTTATCCAGTTTTCCCAACACCATTTGTTGAAGAGACTATCCTTTCCCTATTAAGTATTCTTGGTTCTCTTGTTGCATATTATTTGACCATACATAAAGGAGTTTAATTCTGGCTTTTCTGTTCTATTCCATTGGCCTGTGTGTTTAATTTTACTCCAGAAAAATACTGTTTTGTTACTACAGATTATAATATAGTTTGAAATCAGGAAGTGTGATATCTCCAACTTTGTTCTTTTTCCTCTGGACTGTGTTGGCTATTTGAGTTCTTCTGTGGTTCCACACAAATTTTAGGTTTTTCTTTTTTTCTTTTACATTTTTTGGTTAAATATTTTATTTATTTGAGAGAGGGAGAGAGACAGACTCCTCACTGAGCAGGGAGCCTGATGCAGGGCTCAAATCCAGGGCCTGAGATCATGACCTGAGCTGAAGGCACCTGCTTAACTGACTAAGCCACCCAGGCACCCTGTTTTTTTTGTTTTTTGCTTGTTTGTTGTTTTTCTGCTTCTGTGAAGAATGCCATTGGTATTTTAATGGGGATTGCACTGAATCTACAGATGACTTCCCGATTCAGGTAGTATGGACATTTTAACATTAATTCTTCCAATCCATGAACAGAAGATGTCTTTCCATTTGTGTCTTTTCAGTTTCATTCAGCAAAGTCTTGTAGGTTTCATTTATACAGATCTTTCACTTTCTTGGTTAAATTTATTTCTGGGTATTGATTTTGATGCTATTCTAGATGGAATAGCTCTCTTTCAGATGTTTCATTCTTAATGTACAGTATATCCTACAACTTTACTGAAATTATTAATTAGTGCTGACAGTTTTTTTTTTGGTTGAGTCTTTGAGATTTTCTATATATAAAATCATTTCATCTGCAAATAGTGATAATTTTACTTCTTTTCTGATTTGGATGCCTTTTTAAATTTTTTTGTCTTACCTAATTGTTCTAGCTGGGAATTCCAGTACTATATTGAATAAGAGTAGGGAGAGTGGGCATCCTTGTCTTGTTCTTGATTTTAGAGGAAAAGGTTTCAGTTTTTCTCCACTGAGTATAATTTAGCTGTGGGTATATCATATATGGCCTTTATTATGTTGAAGTATGTTCCTTCTATACCCAATCTGTTGAGGGTTTTTATAATGAAAGGAAGTTATATTTTGTCAAATGCTTTCTCTGAGTCTATTGAGATTATCATATGATTTTTATCTCTCGTTCTACTAATATATTACATTCAACTTGCCTATTTTCAACCAGCCTACATCCCAGTGATAAATCCCATTTGGTCATGGTATTTGAATTCAAGAAGACATTAAAATGATTAGTTTACTAATATTTTGTTGAGAATTTTTGCATTTATATTCATCCAGGATATTTGCTCATAGTTTTCTTGTAGTGCCCTTACCTGGCTTTGGTATCAAGGTAATTTTGACCTTGCAAAATGAGTCTGAAAGTGTTTTCTCTTCTTCTGTTTTTTGGAATAGTTTGAGAAGGATTTGTATTAATTCTTCCTTAAATGTTTGGTAGAATTCACTAGTGAAGCCATATGGTCCCAGGTTTGCTGTGGTGGAATATTTTTCATTACTGACTTAATCTCTTTGTGGTCTGTTCAGATTTTCTATTCCTTCCTGATTCACTCTTGTAGGCTGTATGTTTTTAGAAATTTATCCATTTCTTCTAGGTTACCTAATTTGTTGGCATGTAATTGTGCATTATAGCCTCTTAAAAACCTATGTATTTCTGTAGTGTCTATTGTATTATCTCCTTTTTCATTTCTAATTTTGAGTCTTTTAGTCTAGCTAAAAGTTTGTTAATTTTATTTTTTCAACAAATCAGCTCTTTTGTTGATCTTTTGTTTTTCTGGTCTCTATTTCATTTATTTCTGCTCTCATCTTTATTTCCTTCTAGTAACTTTGGGCATAGTTTGTTTTTTTTTTTTTTTTTCTAGTTCCTTGAAGTATAAGATTAGGATATTTGAGATCTTTTAAATTTCTCAAAACATGCATTTATTGCTATAAACCTTATTCTCAAAAACTGTGTTTATTACTTCTGGGGATGATGGCAGAGTAAGAAGATCCTAAGATCACCTTGTTCCTAGATATACCTAGTTAACACCCACATCAGTGTAAATAACCCAGAAAATGACCCAAAGATGGAAAGAACACTCTCCACAGCTAATCATATAGGAGAGGCTACATCAAAAATGGTAGGAAGGGTGAAGACACAATTGGTAACCAAACTGACCTGTGAGACTGTCCACTGGAGGGAGTGACATAACAGGCATAGAGAAGGGAGAAGAGTAGACCTTACATGAGGCATCCCAGGAATGGTGGA